ATGTCTCGATGTTGTCCATGGACTGTCCTCGATACCCCTATCATCGCGCTCTTGCATATCGTTATAATATATTACAAATGTTCTTAGAATATCCTCGATTATTTGATACTTTATATTATTCAGTAATTTCTATTAAATCACTTCGACTTGCCCTAGCTGTTGTTTGGATAAAACACCTACTCGCGACTATCTTCAGCCGACTTACTAAATATTCCTCCTCATTAACGGAGCAATCCTGATATAAATTTCATCGAAATACGGAGTCTATTTGAATTCGAATTCCAAATTACATTGAGAAAAATTACAATTACAATTCAATGCGAAAAACGCCTTCGACCTCTTCCTCTGCACAATGCCAATATATCATAACTAATCATAAGATACCCGCCTCACGATCATTGAACAAATACCCCAGTCTAATCTGAAAAAAATGTCGCACCGCACCGATTGTTTAAGTGTGTTTTGCTCGGTGGCTTTAGAAAGAGTGATTATTTTTTTCCATCCTACATCATTCGGCTTTCCATGCCCCATGTAATGTCTCCAGAGCAATGTAATCTCGCATCTAATGTTTCCAGGGCCGTACCTTCCCAAATGTGCAGCGCTATGACACCAAGCATGGAATACTTTCGGTATTTTTTATTTATTTACTACTAAAATAAAATGTCAGGGAATTTTAATTCGAAAAGAAGTTCAGAAATGTAGTCGCCTCTTCTATTGTTTTAGATTGCGCACTCCTATGTATTTATTTTCGTTGCCAGATTTAATCTCACACCATATTCTCAAAGAGACTCCAAAGATTCTCCTTATCTTATTCATTTCCCCTATTTTCACTTGATTTCCATTGCACCTGGCCTTCGCTAACTTCCATGATGAATGGTGTTCCTTCGTGTCTCTAAAGCTGTTTTTGTGCGTCGCAGATGAAATTTCAAGGCAGGATGAAGAATTTTCACTTTTCTGGGAGAGATTTTAGAAAAATATATTACTGCATTTCAAAATTTAAGCTGCCAGTCATCTAAAAGTTACCTTAGATGTATGTTCTCCTTTGCTTTTTTTACTGTTACCATTTTTATGAAGCAAATTGAGGGTTCATGTGGCGTTTAATTGCTTATGATAGAGTTTTATAATAGACGGATTATTTTTCAGTGACGTCAGTGAAAAGAAACAGTCTACCTCTGTGAATAAACCTGTATCTTCTCAGTTAGTTTGTTCTCATTATCTCGGAATAATACTCTGCAGCATTTCACTAATTGATTACTTCTCCAATATGAATGTGAATTTTATTCTGTATTATATTGGCACAGGCGGTGTGATGGTACACGTTGCACATATTTGTATTTTTTCTTCTCTAAATAAATAAAGTCTTATTGTTTACAAACACTGTAATTAATTTTACTTTTTTAATGAAAGGCTTTGTTTACAAAGTTTATTGTTAATATTCAATGCCCGCCGCAGAACGAACGCAAGATCTTGTTGAACGCGCTCCGATCAGCCGTACATGAGGGAGACAATAGAAAACAAATCAATGTATTCAATAAATAATTAAACAAAGTATTCCTTCAAATCATTCATCTTTTCGGAAATTCATGTAAAAAATTCCAAACCACCGAAAAAGGGTTATTCATTTGTGTTTATAAACAATTTTTAGTGTGACATTAGTGTGACTTGATTCCTGATATGAAAGAAATATTGTATTTATTGGTAAATAAAATTATAAAAAGATCAATTAACAAAAGGCGCTCGTAAAATGTTCAAATAGAGTTATGTCAGAGTTTCACGCTGTGAGTCAGTAGACAAAATTAAAGGAATTCTTCGTAAACAAGCTCTAAACTATTTAAATTAAATATAGGTATTTTAATTTTGATGTACGGATTAATGCAATACGGTTGGAATTAAGTTATCTGTACGAGAAAAAAATTAATTACGTCACGATGTGACGAAAGACCCGCGAGCCTGAGACCTATATAAGTGTGTACTGGACCAGCGGAAATCCCCCCTCTTTTCATCCTTTTTTTCGGGCAGCTGAATAAATTACAGATTTTTCCCAGTTTTCCTTGCATCTGAAAAAGCTTCATTTTTTATAATTTCCACGGCAGCTGAAGAAGTTGCATTTTGCAGTTTTTTCTTTTGACAACAGCAAAGTTATTATCAGTTTATGGAAAAAACGTTGTTTGCTGAAAAGTTATCACCGAAAAGAAAATGGAGGCGCAACCCAGACAGATCAACCTCATTCAGAGCCATTGTGGGAATTCAAGTAGTTCCATATCAATGGCCGTAAGTTTACTTGTAGCTGGAAAACGAGTTAAGATCACCTTGCGCGGTTTTTACTTTGATTAAAAGGCGAGCTAAGGCCGCCCGAAACCGTTGCCGACAAGTTGTACGGCGGGTGGCGTCCTGCTATAAGCCTTGATTATAAATAATCTGGGACTGTTCAAACATTTGCGTGTGATTACATACTACTAAAGAGATACGAGAGCTTTATGAGAAAAAATAAGTGTTTAATATAACACTAGAAAGTAAGCCCTGTCGAGAGCCCCTTATAGAAATGTAGTTAGTTCTTAATTAAATATAAAAGGCCACGAGCTAACAGTTTTTTGATCACTTTTAAAAAGACTCGCATAAAGAAATGAAGACGTTAGTTGTTTAATGGATATTTTAGGATCAATATTTGTTGTAAAATATATTTTATTTCCTTCTTTGAAATTTTCTTTTCTTTTCCTTCAAAATCACTGACGAAATACGTTCTGTTTTATCGGATTCTGAGTGTTTTGTTTAATAGAAATGACATAACACTCCTAACATCTGATACACACGCTTCCCATACGGGTCGTGATTCTTACCAATCACAAGTAAGTTAATTTCTCCGGTGGCTAGCTGTGCTTCCTCCGCTTCCTCCTGGAAGCGGTTGGAGTAAAAAAAGTGTTAGCTGGCCTGTGGTGGGAAGGTGATGTTTACGCAAAAGTTTAAATATGTTATGTGTGTGTAGAAACAGTTTAAGGGAAATAGAATGTAATAAATAGGAGAAGGAGAGGGGTTTTCACCAAATTTTTCGTTGATGAAGTGCAGGATACAATCTTATTCACATACCTGCAATACGTTGTTGAACAAGTGAACAAATTCATATGTCGTTTTTAATGAAGTTCAACATAAAAATGTGATGTTGTGATCATATACGAGGAGGATAAACTGAAGCATGAACATTTAATACACCTGTGGAACATTTTCACTGTATGGACTTTGACTTTCTTTGCCTTTAAACATTTTTCAACTTTCCCTCAAGTTTATTCCTCCGCTATTTGCTTGGGCGTCTTTCGCTCGCTCTTCCCATTTCTTCCTGCTGTGCTGCGCTTTGCCCGGCCCGAGCCATCCCGGGTGGGCCTTTTCGGATCCCGCCCTCATCCGCTCGCTCATCGCCGCCCTCATCCTCGGGCGTCGGCCTCATCCGCCGCCGCGCACGCCGTGCCTCGCTTTCAATTAGCCGGGATCAACGTGTGCCGTTAAGGGTGCGGCCTCGTTATTTTTAGGACGTCACCCGCCACGTCCCAGGCCTCTCGCAGTCTTCGCTTTCTTCTGACAGTAGAGCGTGACGTTAATTGGTTTACCAAATATTTTTCGTTAGTCACCGTTGAAACACAAGACGTCCGGCTAGGATCACGATGATGTGTTATCGGATATCGTCATAATGATCTTTTTGAATAAAAAAATGTGTTTGACATGGCCGGCAATGTAAATTGAAACGGAAATACAAATTCATTAAAACGCGTATTGATATGATGTAATTCCAAATGTTAATTGCGTTGTATTGATAAATGCGTATATGAAATTAACTAGAGTGCATTTTGGGCTCGAAGTGAACTTTGTGTAGTAGAGATTTACAATGCATAAATTTATATGGCTAATAATGAATTCATAGCTTTAGCTGGAGATGAAAGGTGTTGGAGGTCAAAGGTATGGTAGGTGAAAATGAAAATTGTAAAACGTTCATATGTCCCCTTTAAGTTCACATTTGTGGTTTTCGTCTTCTGCGTGTGTGTAGTGCGCGAATAAAATGATTAATTAAATTTGATCACAGTGATTGTAAACAATACAGAAATTAATTTTTGGAAGTACGCTGATGAGAGATTGAAATGAAATACTTTATTGAATATTTATATTTAAAATTGTACTTTACGCACTGTTTATCGTCTTTTATTGCCATGAACTAAGTTTATTTCTCGTCCTAGATAAGCAAAAACACGGTTGTTGTTAGTATTACGATTACCACCAATTGTAGCCAAAGCCACGTAAATGAAGGATAATATTATGATTAACCTAAACAATAATACAGATGGGCCACATCCTTTATCTCTGAAGAAATGGTCCATCATCCTGAACGATGTTTTCCTCATTTTAATAATGTGAGGCGCGACGTTAATCAGAGAAAAAGAGAGAAGGACATACGAAGAAAAGAGAAGACGAGCAATTGCAAAATCTGAGTGAGAGTTACAAGAGAAGCTAGAATTAAATGAACAATAAAAAATAGATGAAGTAAAAAGTAGAGTAAGATAGGAAGGGGAAGCAACTTTAAAAAGAAGAACGGAGATAAACATTGTGATGAACGAGAAGACGAAAGCGATCAACTTTGTCTCTCATTACGAATTGTATCACTTTATATATATATAAAATATTGGATCCCAAAAGGAAACGATGGAGAGGACCGGCAGTCGATTGTGTGTCTTTCCGTCCTACCAGTCAGTGACCCGATCGTCCGTGACCGCAAGTGCCGTCCGAAGGGTCAGAGCGCTTGGCCCGCGGCTTGGCGAGCAGCCGCCCCAGATTCCGTGCTCGAGCCCGTGCCGGGTCCTGGTCCTGGTCCCGGCCGCCCCATTAAGATGCTCCGCCATGCGGCCCGTGCGGCCTCGGGTTAACAGCACTTGACGGAGCATTGTTCGCCCGCGTGCCTTGCGCATCGCCCGCCGCCGCTGGGGGCGCCCGCCTCGCCCCGCCCCTCCACGCCCCGGCACGTCCGCGTTCGCTCTGGGAGTGCGCCGCCTGATTTGACCGCGCCCGCCGCTTCGCCATGGCTTCCCACGCAAGGTCGCTCGTCTGGATGCCTCACGTTCTGCGCAGAGTACGTTTTTTTATTTTATTATTTTATTGATTGATTTGGTCATTATGTTATTGGTTTTATTTAACGTCATCTGCTTTGCCATGGCTTCCGTCACGATGACGCACGTTTGCTCGGATCTGTTTTGTCTTAGCTATTACGTTATTGGTTATTATTGAGTACTTCAAGCATTATGCAATTTAATTTTGATTCGTTGATTTCGTCATTATTATATGTATTCCCACCCGCTGCTTACCATAGCTTCCGCCGTGCCACTATCTGGATGCCTAATACTGTAGGTACAGTATGTTTTATTTTGATTTAACCATGTTATTGATTTTGTTTTACGTGTTTATTTATTAATTCTCTTCGTATTTATTTTATCTCGACATCCTACACCGTTTGTTTTTATAAGTTCTCGAAATGAGCTTGCGTGTAAAATGTTAATTACTAGAAATAAATACTGAATTAATGCATTTTTTATCAAGCGAGGTGTATACTTTTGTGCGCACAATTCGATTTATAAATAAAATTATTAAGTTGAATTTTAGTTTACCAACAAACGCAGAATCTTTTTAATTTTTTTTCATGACAATTTTTTACCAGATTTTCATTCGTAAATATGTAGGGTGAAATGTTCGTTGCAAGTATTAAGTAACAAAAATCGGGGTAAACGGCGTAGAAAATAAATTAATATCATTGTCAAATGTTTCGTATAATTTATTTAATCAAATTTAACATAATATAATTTATTATTGATGTTGAACAAAAGAATGAATGCAGTGATTGTTTATTCAATCCTGAAGGGAAATGAAGCTTTGAAAATCAATTACAAATAAGGCTAGTCATTTTGTCAAAGAAATATCTTCTGTAATACTGCGATGAAAATAAGTTCAAAATATTCCGAAGTTAATGATTTAGAAAAATAATAATATAATTATTTGAATATTATACTAATATAATTATTTTGAAATTTTTTTGTTCAATAAACGTTGTGAAGAGTGGTTATTGTGTGTTTTGTTAGGTATAAATAATTATAACAATAATAGATTAAAACTGTGATATATTTGATTAAATCATATCACTAATAATGTCAAGAGACTAGGCGTTGTTCAGTCACCATCCAATACTTTAACTTCTAAATTCGCTCTGCTAGTATAAATTGTTCCTCCGTCAATATCAACGTCTAACCTTCGCTTACATTTTTCGTGCACTGATTTTTTTTTATCCTATCAGTTTCTTTCTTGTCATCACTTTTCTAATTTATCATAGTAGGTATTTATTTCTATTTTTAGAATTCGTTTAATGGGAATTGGTTATTCGTACTGCTGGATTAAATTAGTAAAGATACGCGTTAATAAATAACGCTTTTGAAAGGAGAAACGAGGAGAAAAACTAGAAGCAAACATCTGTTTCTGTGGGACTGTAAATCCGTAATTGGCAAAACCGCCTTTGTCCACGTCCTAACGAGTGAGATGCTTCACGAACACCCGCGTCGTGAGGAGGTCGCCTCATTTGGCGCAGAGCTGTGCTATCTTCGTGCCTCGCCACCGCTTCCCACGAGCCCTGCGGCAGTCTGTTTGAGCTCTCAACTACACAGGTAACGTCCCACCGGATTGTACTGGGTGTTGCATGTCCTTTGTGAAAGCGCCCCAAAACTCTCGCGTGGGCAGAAACTGCTGCTTGTCGCGCGTGTCCGAGGCGGCGAAGGACAGACGAGATGCGGCTGTGAAGGCGGAGCCGCGACGGGCGGCAGAGGAGCGCGGGCGGGCACCCTAAGACGCAGGACGAGACAAATATTTATTTACGGTTTTTGTGGTTGTGGACCGATGCAAATAATTATTTGTAGACACTAGAGCGGGAAAAAGTTGAGGCTTACGCAGAGAAAATGTCTATTAAATGAACGGTTTTTCACTTCTTAAGCACACCGACATTGTGGTGCTATTTATCTTGCAATTAACATATTTGCATGGGCATCGATCAATATATAGTGTTCTATATTGCGAAAAGAGTTAAAACATGATCGAAGAGAAAATTAATATTGAGTTGCTTCCAAAGAAAGAAGTAACATGTGGACTACCGATTGGACTGAGTTAAAATAAGATGCCAAGGAAAGCAACTGTTAGACGATTGGCGTTAGTGTACCTTTCTTAACGTGTAGGTGCGTGTTTTTTTAGACAAGAAGAGGAATAAATTCGTCCGATTGAAAACACTGTTGATAACCGAATCAGTAAAGATAAGTGCCTTGAAAATCAAATTTAGACACATTCTATAAGTTAAAAATATTTCTACATTTTCTGATAGGATTTGTGCTTATAAGAAAACTAGCAATACGTTTCTCAGAACACTTAACTATTATTGGCCGTAATGGTACCCCTGTAGAAGGAACTGCAGGGAGTGCTGAAAAGTTCTTGGTGAATTGCATCAAAATGACTTCAATATTTCATGGAGGTACATTGGAGACTTTCACGGACCCACTTAGTTGTATGTTTTTTAAAGTCGTTGTACATGTATGTGTGCATGTGACGCATTATGTAAGGTTTAATTATGTATGTCTTCATTTGCTATCTGTGCATGTTCCTTACTGGTGTGTAGCATTCTATCAGTGAGACTTTTCAAGGGTAAAAAATTATGAATTCAATGCTAATAGCTTTGTTGATGATGAAACACATATGAGAATTTTTCACGAGGAAAAGTCGATGCTTAGTTTTAATAAAACTCTCTGCCACACATCTGTGGGACGAAATATGTTTGACGCCAAGAACTTCAAGTTTCTTTAAAATTACAATGTATTGTTGGAATAATTCTGTAACCATTGTAATGTTTTGTTCCTAATAGCCATATGTGAATCGAAAAAATAATTCAAGCCGCTAATTTCAGTTGACCAAAGATAGATCCAATAAAAATGTATTTCTGCGTATATATTTTCCTACTGGATATCGTAGACCATATAAGATAAGTATGCTTTAACAAAATAAAGGCGAGGATGCAATGTGATGAGTGGATGGAGTGTGTGCGCCCGCGCGTTTCTGCCTGTGTGAGTGGATGCGTGCGTGCGATAGAGAGGCCCTTCAAGGCGAGATCGGGAGCTGTGTGATCCGCAGCCGCGTCCGTGCGCAAAGGCTGCCTTTGCAGCGCGCGTCCGGCCGCGGCCCAGCCTTCCCGTCCTCCTTCCCGCCCCAACTCCCGTTCCCAGCCCAGCCCAGCCCAGCCCAGCGCAGCGTACCGCAGCGCTGGCCGTGTTTGTCGAGTGCGTCTGACGCGCGGCCTGCTGTCTGTCGCAGCTGTACGACCGCATCTCGAGCAAGGTGGTGAGCCCGACGCGCGCGCCCCCCAGCGACGCGGTGCAGAAGTGCCGCGAGGTGGCGGAGGTGGTGCGCGAGCTGGAGCAGGCGGCGGCGGAGCTGGACGTGGAACCTGCGGATTTGGAGGAGCTACGCGACATCCTGGCGCGGCCGCACGTGAGGGTGAGTGGCAGCGGCAGCTTCACTTTTGAAGGCGTTGTAGACAGTGAAGTCATTCCTCCTAAACACGCTCCTGAAAGTTTGTGCTCGAGACAGGGACTACCGTCTCATTTCAGTTGTCATAGAACATGACTTTTTATTGAATGTTTTGATGTAATTAAATATATATATCTAAATTAACACTAATATTTTAGTGGGGAAAATGTAGGAAAAATATGATTCTGTACAATTACGCCCTTTAGGGACCAACATATAATTGGTCAAGTGACGAAATATAAGAAACAATTGCAACATTGTCTCACGTGCGAGGTGGGTAGTAACCATTAAGTTGTTTTAATTTACTACGAGTTAGATTTTTTCATCTTTTTGGCATCCATTTTTAATTACAAATATGTTACTAAAAATATGATTTCATAAAAGAAGTGAAACGTGAATGACAATCAGAGAATATTAATTTACTTTGCAAGGGATGTGGTGAAGAAAGTGGATGTTTCCATGATTAGAAGGGAGAGTTATCTGACGAGACCGATTGGCCGAGTCTATGAATCTGGTCATGTTGTGGATAGCACTTTTGCTGTGTTATACAACTTTTTTTCGGGGGCCTGACTTTTATGACAATTTGTTCATATGATAAACACTTTCAATTGAAGATCACAGGAACATGCTTAGTATTGCCCCGATCTGGGGGTTGGTGAGTTTTTTGTTGTATAATTGTAGTACTTTCAGTGCTAGTACAGAAAGTATTCTGGTACTTTTCCACTCTTATGTTGAAAAAAGTTGAACTTCAATGCCCGAATTCTGTGTAAGTATGTGTCACTTCCTAGACGGTCTTGAATAAAATTATTTTTATTCTGTAGCAACAAATATAAGATGGACTGCCTTAAGAGTTTACAGGTTCACTAGACAGGCAATCATGTGGTACCCTATTTTGTCTAGAATCTAATTTGATTTCTTGTCCTCGTGAATCGGGCTATCATATATTGTAAGCTTAAGGCATTAAGACGTAAGTTTGTAATGTTTTCATAAAATAAAATTCAAATATTAAAGAAAACAATAAAATGTTTTACGTACTATAAAAAGTGATGCTGAAATTTGAATGAAAATGATCTTTACGTAGCTCTCATAATTACGATTTCGTCTTCAATCATTTTCGATGTTATCATTACGTGTTTTTCGAACAGTTAAAGAGACAATAACAGGGTAGGGAGTAACATAAGGAGTATACAATGCTTAATTTATTTTTATGTAGGATAATTGCCTAGGCAGTAACACCTCAGGTCACATATAGTTTTTAATGTATCTAGACCCATCTATTTATCTAGAGCTACATGCCATTTAAAAATGAAAAGTATCAGATGTTATGACTTGTTTTCACCCAAAATACATTACGAGACAATCGTAACAATTTCAACGTTCATTATTAGTGTAGCTTCAATTGTTATTGTTGAACCTTTAATTGAAGGCAATGATATTGGAGTTGTAAGCAGTAGGATTATCCGTTGGAACATGAAACAGGTTTATGAGTAGTTTCTTTCTCGAATTTATTCGTATTCGTTGTTAATCAGTTACTTGAATAATCTATTTGATCTCTTCTTCAAACTTTACCCATTTTCTTCTCGTAACATAAAAATTTCCATCTTAATATCATTCTTGATTCGGAACAAGTATTTATGATAAGTACTAATATAGGAATTATGTTTTATATTTTGTCTCCTGAACAAGGTGTTTTTTTCTGTAACTTGCATTTGTAACGAATTTATTTGCAGAACTCACTTCGTAATGATGAAAATGTCGAATTTTAAATTCGATTGTTAGCATTAAACAGATAAAGACTTTCAACGATGCGTAGCGCGTGTCTAGTCAGTATGTATTAATGTTAATTCCAATGTAAAACGGCTCCCATTTACGTCTTCTTATTTGGTGTCTATTTAGTAAGTATTTATAATTACATACATATTGTGTTAATATGAACCCATGTATGTAAAAAAGTGTACAACAAAAGTAACCCTTGTTTTTTGCAATTTAAATGTCGTTTTTAAAAAACAAATCAAGAAACAAACAAACAAATTAGAAGCGCGTCCGATATAACTCGCGTTTTTTGAAGTATATATCACATATAATAATTAGCGTTAGTTTATACTTCCAAAAAATATATTAATAATAAATTCATTACGATGTGTTTTTGTAGCCAACTTTGTTATTTAAATATGTTTCCTTTACGGGAGTGGCTATCAATTGTAATATTGTCTCCATTCACATGTTATGATCCATATTTTGTATCTCGCTCGCTGAATGAAATTGACTCAGAATGAATTATTAATATATAAATAATTTTATATTGGTACTGATATTTGATAAATAGTTGATATATACACATATTGTCATATAATTTTTCATCATATCATATACATTTGATAATATTGTATCCTCGTTCTATTTTTATGATTTTGATTAAGTTACGTACATTTCAAACAGTTTTCGCCAGGAACGGTATTACTTATAACAAAACCGTTTATGTGACTATCTTATTCTTAACTTGTTAAAGAAGTTCTTAAATCAGCAAATGGACATTCCTGTCTTGAATATTCTCGATGAGGCATTTTTTAGAGGTCGAATGAGTACAAAAAATGAAAACAAACCATATACACAAGACGATGATGCATAAAAATTCATTGTGGTGGAGGGAGAGAGCTGTTTTAGAAGCACGTTCCTCGTCGACTAGAGGGACTGCGGGGCTTTTTATGTGCAGGCCCCCCGCTGTGCTCTCTCCCACTGTCTCCGCAGTCGTCTGGGTCTTGAGCTCGTAGGATAACGCCAGCTGGGCTTTCACGGTGCAGTATACTAAACATAAAACGAGAGAACCACATTTCTATCTACTTCCGTGGAAAGTTTATGCATGTGTTTGTTTACACATGATTCTATATAAAATAGTGTGCATGGCTAGGTAAAAAGAACTTGACAGAATTTACCCAGATCAGGTTGAATATAAAAGGGTAGAGACACCGAATTGCCGTTGTTTCACAACATTCATTATGCAGAGCTGAATTGATAAATTAGGCGGAGATATTATTAATTTTATTTTACGTGATAAAAATGCTATATTATGTAATATATAAAAAAATTAAAATACAATAAACGGAAAAACATAAACTGAAATATTGAAAAATAAGCGAGACAAACTTCGCCGTGTTTCTGAAATTAAGTTGTTACAGAAATGGTTTAAATTACCATTATTGTCATTCATTTAAGTAAAAAACGAAATCGATCTCCTTACCTCTCACAGTTTTCTCGCCTCATCCCTCTCGATCCCTTTGTACTCCCCTGAATTCTTTTCACGAGCTCAGTAGAACACTCATCTGAGTCATCCTGCAGCTCATCTCTCCTTGTTTTCGTACACGCGTCCCATCGTCTGTTTTCGTTCACGCGCCGCTCGTTTTGTTTGGTCTCTCGGCACGCCCGCCCGCTCGCCCGCCCGCATCGCCCAACCACATCGCCGAACCGCATGCGAGCGACGGCTCTCTGCTGAGAGGGATCACGGCGGATGGGCACGTAAACGAGACTGTACACGCGGGCGGGGTTGTTGCTGCAGATCGGGACACGCAAAGTGGCGGGCGCTGTCTGTGGTGGGCTGCTGCGTTTACATTACGGTGTCCATTATGTGCCCTCGGACGCGTAAAAGCGGCTGTTCGATTCTGTGATGTGTTTTGGTTTATAACTTCTTTTTTTTAATGGCTAGCGTAAACGAGTACGGGCGTTATTTCTTCCTTTCCACTTTTTGTGGATTTCAAATTGCCCAATTAATCAGCAGTTTTATCAAGGATGTGATCTAAAATGGTGAATCTGAATTTTAGGGACGTTTCCGGTGATTTTAGAGTAATTCAAACTTAAAGATCAGAATCACAGATAGCTTTTTTCTTTAGTCGAAATTTTTTTATTATAAAACTGAGTGGTTTGTCTCTTTGAAGACTTAAAAGTATTGCGAATTTTGCCTTGTTATTTAGTTTCAATTTTACTGTACGTTGGCTTGTTATAATTTAATAAATTTAATTAATGAGTTTTGGGTTTAATTGATTTACCTCTTAAACTTAATCGTATTGGCTGAATGTCTGCATCTTAATCTCATTTTTTATCATTGCCTGAAAATGTGCGTTTAATTTTACGCGTTAAGTTCATATTTTAAAGGGAGCTGTAATTGTATAGAACACAATAAAAGTAAAATAAAACTTTACACTTACTTTTCAAACGATTCCACGCGAATTTCAATATTAGCAATGCAATAGAATGCAAATGCGAAAAACCAATGAATGCGTTTGTTTCTGTGCATAATTTAATATCTGAACTCAGGTGATACAATCCGTATAGGTTGTGGTGCCATTGATATTTCATGAGTTGAAGTATGATGTAGGTCTACTACTTCATTGAATACATCTTCCAAGGATCTACATCGTATGTTGTCATAAAACCTATTCAAAATATTTAACCTCAGAGTTTGGCACTGAGTAGTTGGATCAATTGGTATAAATGAAAAACAGCGACTCCCTTTGTAAATAGAAACGCACATTTTAAGTACAATTATGAACGCGGCATACGCTTTATCATTACACACTTCACAATATTTTCCACGTCATGCAGGAAAAAAACAAAAAAATATGCACTTTAACCCTTCCGCCATCTAAAATGTTGAATCAAAATAAATTTATCATTCAAGTATCCTGAAATATTGCAGAGAAAATTATATGGAATTCCAAGTTATTTTATAGCTATTCCGTGTATCTTTAAGTGAACGTCGATCATCTCTTCCTTCCATAATGTATTTTCCTCTCTGCTAAACGTATCATAGTATTAGTTAATCGTCCCCTTTCTCCTTGCCGTTTTATTTCCACCTCCTACTCTTCATCCGTGCGCCAAACAGCGGAGCGTCCGCGACTCGGCCCCGCCGCGCCGCAGCGAGGGCCATGAGTTTGGGGGCGGCGCCGAGGGTGGGCGCGGCGGGTGGGTGGGGGAGAAGCCCGCTTGCAGAGCTGTTAGAATGGCCTGTGGAAGTAACTCTCTCGCACGGCGCGAAAGGCGGCAGCCAGCAGGGCGGGGGTGTAGGGCAGGGGCGGCGGCGGTCCGGCGCGCCTCGTCGACGAGATAAGTGGCGACGGCGAGTGACTACCCCCACCCCTGGCGCAACGCCGAAGTCCGAGGCGTCGAAATGGAGAGGTCGAAGGCAAGCGCTCATTGTGGACCCGAGTGGGCCGGGGTCGACGGCTTAGACCTCACTGTCGCTTCTCGGGGCCATGATTGGGCCTCTGGTTGTGTGCCGACGTTTCGAGAGCGCTGCTCAAGAAGTGGGAATTGAACTTCGAGGAAGAATGCATTAAATCAATTTAGGACCCATTAGAGTTTTTGTAGTTTATAATAAAGGGAACTTGTGGATCCCACAATTTATAACCATGTTATCACTTTGACAGAAACGTTTTTTCTTGTTGCGGTCAGATTTGAAATATTTAGTTGTTAACGTTTTAATTATCTCATAAAAACAATTCATGTATTTAACAATGTACGGAGTGTAATTGAATCAAATGCAATGTCGATTTCTTTTGTGAATTTTTATTTAAAAGTGGGAGTGGTATGGACGTACTCGTCTATCAAAATAAATTCATTCATTTACTAGTTTCGACTCCCCCAATTTCTCCCATTTACGAATACATAAATGAATAAATTGTTGAGAGAATAGAACAGTATAAATGATTTTAAAAAAATTCACCATTCAATCATTATGCACCTTAATTTTAACTTACGTTTCTTTCCCGGTCTCTGTTTTCGACATTTCCATTGCTTCCGATTATCTACATTCTGTTACAAGCACGCAAATTATACGAACATATAATTTAATATCGTATAAGAACTTCAATATAATATCCATTACCACATTTTTGCCGCAGAACATAATATGGTCATTTTTATTTTTGTGGGTTATTAAAGTGGTTGTCTAAACGATTGCATATTGAACTGTTCTCGAGATGTCAAAGTGAGTGTACTACTTACATAACATTTTGTAGACTTGGGAACACTCTCTGTCAGGTTGTTCTTTAGAAGAAAAGGGAAACACACTTAAGATCGTTTGTTGTATTTTTTCATTGTTAGTTTTCCAGGGAAAAGTAAAATTAACTATTTTTACAATCTATTATTTGTACTGTTATATCTATTATTTGTACTATTATTTGACTATTTATAGTCACACTTACATCCATACCGAATTTTCGAGTTTTCATATCAATGAAAATTGTTTGAAGTGGTTTGTATTCAGTTTGTAGGAAAGTAATCTGCGATGTAGAGCGTGCATCCTAATGACCCGTAATTGTCCTAGAGCCGACAGTGAGCGCGCAGTTGATCCAGTGCAGCTGCAGCACCCCCCCTCCCCGCGCGCTATCTTGGCGCGCCGGGTGACGCGAGCGCGAGCGTGTGGGCGGGCGGTTGCGCGCGCGCGCAGATTGCCGTGACGTACGCGTGCCGGGTCATCGCAGGCGAGGAGCGCGGCGCGCACTTCGTCACGGCGCGTGTCAGGTGTCTGAGCCATCGGCCGCCGCAGTTTGCGCTCCCGACGCGACGGCGCTGCTCGCGCTGCCGCAGGACACACGGTCATCACTCTGGGCTCGGCGTCCTCAAGCCGATTTGTCGAGCAGTTGAATGTAGAGCCTAGAACTGTGTACTGCTAGAGTTAGTCAATTGAGTAATCCTTTTTGCAGATAAATTTAGCACATTCATTGTTCATACGCGTAACACGATTGTAAAACAATCTATACTCGTTCCGGAAGGTTTTTTCTATTTGTTTTTTTAATAAAAAATGAGAACACAAATTTGGTATGACATGAATGGACCGTGCACTTAGTTCATACCTTGTCCTTTCATGTGTACATTTCACGTTTTCCACCCGCGCTCATATTCTCATAAAAAATAGTTGACGTGATTTATTGCCCCAACCGTCGTACATATTTCGTAATTACCTACGTACTTACTAGGAGAAGTTAACATTCGATAGTTATGGTTGTACTTACATGAACACACACACACATACACGTATAACCATGTTTATGCATTAACATTTACAGGAGTTTTGCGTCTCCTGTAAACTATGGTTTCTAAATTGGCAGGCTTAAATGACATTTTTGTAGAGCAACGTGAAGAAAATTTGACATTACAAATAGGATTAGCATAAAATTAGTAGTCAATGACCAATCAGTTATCCATCACTAGAATATACTACTAAATCACTCTGTGGACAGATTTATATAAAATCAGATTTACGAATGAATGTGGGATGAGATGTAATCCATCACTTGTTGTTCTCCCTCGGATTAAGTGTCAAGCGTTGCTGCAACTTCATGATTGATAGTAAACTCGGGCTGTTTGGAAATATTTCTTGGACACGGCCTCTGGGCACGCAGAACTGCCCTTACCCGCTTTAAGATTTTAAGAAATAAGACTATTAAGCTTATATGAATAAGCGAAAATGCTGTACTTTCTCCTTTCTTAAGTATCTCCTTTCGTTTCCTTTCAACGTTTATGTTGTCCGAGTGCTTGTAACATTTCCATTTATATCGTCATTAAGACTTCTCTGAAAAAGTAATGTTTGATGTATTGTATTTATTCAAATGTCAAAAGAAGATCCACCAATTTAAGAAGTTATACTTCGAGTTCGTACTTCGAAGTTGTACAGTATACGGAATTCCTGTACGTATTGTGGAATCGCTTGGTAGATGCAGCCATTATAATGAATTATTTCTCCCAGAACCAGAGAATATTTTGATTAACAATTTCCTTTCAAAATGTATGACTACTTATTCCGTACACAATTCTTTTCTCTAAAAAATCTCTACGCAAATTACGTTAGTTAATGTAACATTTCTGTTGAATTTCGTGCGAGTGAAGTTTTCATTGCGTTCAATCTATGTATTGCAATGTACGTAAATCTACATAAGTAAGGTTGGAGTTATTTTACGTCGTTTTCAGGAGTATCCCTAGTCTTCCTAGTGTAAGCCGCATGAATATCTGCAATGTAGAATGAGGCGTAATAATCCAGCACATCGCACTTGTACAGAGTCTTCCATAATAAATTAATTGTGACGTCCTGTGAAACCCTCATTCTGTCAATGTTTGCGTATCAAGTGAGGATTGCATTCCAGCTCGACATTTCCATGCCCTTTTGTCAATGCTTCCTTTCTCACCTCCTCACGCTGCTCATAATTCTGTCTTCGCGAACCGATCCATTCACACAAATGGAATCGCCAGAAAGCCACCGCCTTCGCCTACTACCAATACATCTTACGCTTTTACCTGGGGCTTTTTTTTATTGGGATTCGGTCGGCGCTACGTGCATGCATTGTCGCCATATGTATCACATTATTTACAAAGCAATTACTACTATCTTAGATTTGTTGTATATACGTTCCTTGTTAGCCAAGCTACCTTCAGATTAAAATCCACGAATACGCGGTCACCTATCGATATCAGAGCACAGGCGTCAACAGCAGAGTCATGTTCCCTTATCTTTGTTCACCGTCACATCGCCTTTACCTCGAACACAGCGGATACCATCCCCATCATAGGCCTCATCTCTAAACCAACGCCCCTGGTCTGTGAACGCCGCCTCCGTCCCCCCTCACTGCCAGTCGCCGAGACTGATCGAGATGGCGTTTCAAACGCAATTTCCATACAAATAACGGCATAATGACCCGATGCAGCTCGCCATTACCGGTAATTGGCCAATTTGTTCGGCGGCGAGCGCGGAAGGTCGTCGCGTGCCGGCGCAACGGCCCGGCCCCCGCCCCCGCCTCCAACGCCGCTCCGTGCTGTTTGATGTCCAGCGGAGCGGTCGCCGCCTGGCGGCCCGCCGCGCACCCGATCCGCTTCCACGCCATCACGCGCTGCGCCGCTCCGCGCACACACCGGCTCAGGTGGTTCAGGCCCTCGGGCCTGGAGGGCGCTGGGTTCGAGTCGCGACAGTAGCGAATTTTCGACTCTAGCTAGAGAACTTGGTCGAAATTAACCGCTGTCTGAAGGAGACTCCGAGCTGATGATTACTCTGATGGATAGTTTTCCGTGCTCTTTTGACGATCAATGCCAGACTGATACTTGGGCAGTGCATTCACAAAAGGACCACGGGCTGCGCACTAGCATTTCTTTATCATCCTTGTTTTCTGCTTTCTTCATTCTTTCGCCGTGCAAACACATGCATGCGCCCCCCCCCCACACACACATACACATACACACACACTTTAATGCACTACACTACCTCACGTGTCGGGAGACCAGTCAGGCGCTTTGTTTGCCCTGGCTGGGGTAGTTTCACGGGCGGGAGAAACTTGAGAGGACGTGAAGGTTGGCGCCGAATCTCACTCCCCAGCGTGGGAGCAACATAGCCGCCGGTATATAATAGACATTGCATTTACGGGACTAATGACCATAACGGTTGACCGCCCGGTAGGTCCAAATAATCAGTCAAGTTAACTGAAGTTAACTTCAGTTAACTTATTCGATGTAGTAGCGCACATTACAGGCAACTAAATACGCCTTTTTTGCCAACGTCCAAGTCCGCTGTACTGAAATACCAAGGTGAGGGAGAATTCTGGAGGTACTGCTACTTTGAGTTGCAATTATTCATATTTATACACCCTGTCTGGCCAGTATGTTATTTAAACAGATACTCCTAACATTAATCATATTTTGACTATTAACTATGATTCATGGACAGAGTAATTAATGTATTTGCACAGCCTGTCTTTTTCCTCGGGCTTGTAAAAGTTATAAAAATATCAATTGAAGTGGAAGTTACAAGAATGAAGTTACAGTCATCACTTCGTTGCACGGACGTCTCCAATTTTGAATTTTTACCTTCTCGTATGTGCATCCCGAATTTGATTTTTCTTCGTCGTATACGTGATAAATTGCTTTGTATATATTTGTGAATAATATTGTGAAAAATCCTCTTTATATGTGTCTTTTTATCAAGTCATGTGCACACCCTGGCCAGAAATATAAAATGCTTCAGCGACCACGGCTAAATCAATATCTGGAATACAGGAATGAAAAAAACCTGCTTATATGTTTCGTTTAAAATGTCTACATCTATCGAAGAAATAAAATTAGCAGAGTATTACAAAACAAGCAAATTTCAGTTCATCAAAAATCAGCGTATGATACGATGGGCTGTAATGGGTTAACAAGATATTCTCAAAGGTTGCTCGATTTTTTCTATTAACCATTTTCTTGAATAGAGGAAACTTCTTGGAATAGTATGTCTTAGGTTATGTTTTCATTAGAACCTCCTAAATTTCGAAAATGGCGAATTGCTTTTCGGACCTGTTTTACACCTTCAATATTGAATCTAGAGATGTGACGTAACCGTTGATTGTGTTCGAATTCCAAGGTAAGGAAGGGAGGAAGTCCTCCTCATGTGCCGTCAACTTTTGATTGTAATAACCGAATAACGTGTTTGCTTTGATGTAAGAGTAGAAATGTATATTTTGTAATTCGTACTTATCAGGAAATTGATTTTGATAGTTTAAATTGCGCGCGCTTTGTAAGCAACGCGGACACTCTAATCGCTTTGAGGATGATTTTCAACGCGTCCTCCTCTCCTGCAGTAATCGTCCATATGGTGGAGGTTTAGTAAAGAGTAATCGTCTATATAATGGGGATTTAGTAAAGAGTAATCGTCCGTATGACAGGGCTGATACTGCCTGTTGAGGAAACGTTTTCTAAAGCAACCTTACGGCTTGAGAGGAGGCCTTCCTCCTCAGTGTCATTTCTTGTTGGCTATTAGAATTAAATCAACTCCGGGCTGGGCGTCCACACACTCATACGTCATATTTTGAAATCCAAGGGCGAGGACGTAGGCAAAGACTTGGTCTTATCTCACGCCGTGGCAGCACCGTAGGGTGGGCGATACCAGGCAATGTTACAAACGACGAACATGGCGGTAGTTATTTGAAGCGTTTTAATGTTCAGTAAGTGAAGAGGGTTTGCCTAGAAAAGTATTTCTCTAGCGCTCCCTTCATAACTTCAGTCGTGTGATGACTGTTAGCTGTGCTGAATTATTCTGTTTATTTCCCAGAATTCGTTTTTTTAATCGTGTAAAATGGGCCAAGATGATTTTTTTTTTCTGTTTGGACAATTTTGATGGTAGTTTACTAGAACTGATTGCTGTAAAATGGGAAGGACGTTCTACTTACAATTAACAATAGACGTCAATGATATTTCGAATTATTGGTGCATTAAATTTGAATAAATTACTGAGCATATACTATAGTGAAACCTGTATTAAGCGATCACTGTTCGTTCAGTAAAAAAGTGGTTTTTCTAAGAGGTGATTGCTTAATAAAATGTTTTTTACAAATACATGTAGTTTGTAAGTACTTGTAGTAACACTTGTTGTGTTTATATCATCTTCTCTCTTTCGAGAAACCATGGACGATCTCTTTGTCGAAAAGGAGTGGTGTTTATAGTCTGAAGTGTGGATGTTAGAAGTCAGAGATGAAATGAAAGCTATCGGAACTGTTACCTTACGACGAAAGGCATCTCACTAATGTTCGTAATTATTTTGATGTCAATTGCATATATTTTAATTACTGTATTGATCATTTTTAAACAAGCGAATGTGCATAGTTTTGACAACGCGGCGTTAGAAA